AAAGAGAGTAATATGCAAATTAACCATCACTCTAACATACAAGGTTGCTACCCCCATGTGGACACAAGATGGCCAGCAGGGAGGGCAGTTGAGAGGGACCAGGCCTGCAATCAAAGGCAGTTGGAGGTGATCAGGCCTGCAGAGGAGGGCAGTTAGGGGTGACCAGGCCAGCAGGGGAGAGCAGTTAGGGGCAATTGGGTCGGCAGAGTAATATGCAAATTAACCATCACTCTAACATACAAGGTTGCTACCCCCATGTGGACACAAGATGGCCAGCAGGGAGGGCAGTTGAGAGGGACCAGGCCTGCAATCAAAGGCAGTTGGAGGTGATCAGGCCTGCAGAGGAGGGCAGTTAGGGGTGACCAGGCCAGCAGGGGAGAGCAGTTAGGGGCAATTGGGTCGGCAGGGGAGCAGTTAAATGTCAATCAGGCTGTCAGGGGAGTGGTTATGGGGTGACCAGGCTTGCAGGCAGAAGCAGTTAGAAGCAATCAGGCAGGCAGGCAGGCGAGCAGTTGGGAGCCAGCATTCCTGGATTGTGAGAGGGATCCCAAATTGGAGAGGATGCAGGCTGGGCTGAGGGACACACACATCCCCCCATGCAAGAGTTTCGTGCACCGGGCCTCTGGTATAAAATATGTAGAATAGGCAAATGTATAGAGACAAAAATTAAAATAGAAATTACCATGGACTAGGAAAAGAGGAAGTGGTGAGTTATTATTTAATGGGTAAAGCTTTCTTTGGGATGATGAAAAATTTGGAAATAGTGATGATGGATGCACAGCATTGTGAGTGTAATTAATACCACTAAATTGTACACTTAAAATAGTTAGATGACTAATTTTGTTTTACCACAAAAAAGGTAAAAACGATGCATCATGATACACTTAAAAAAACAACAACCCACCACTCTAATTCATCAATTATAATAAACATTTCTTTACATTTTTACATACCTGAAATCAACATTCATTTTACCATCAATGGTGACTTAAGTTTGTTGTCTGCCAGGCAGTAGTTGTGAAATGAAGCCATTGCCTGCACAAGTCCAAATCTGGCTGTTATTACATTATTATTGGTGAGGTGCTACCCCTAAACATTTCAATCAACACACCGTTCAAGAGTCATTTAAGGATAACAAAGGGTATTTTTTCCATCTGAAAGCTTGTTACACCCACTACTAAGTACAACAAAGTGTCAGCATCAGAATTGGTGGCTATGGCTTGAGAAAATATTCTGGGAACAGTACTGAATTGCTCAGGAGAAATGTGGCTGCAATATTCTTGATGACATACAGGGTAATATATAGTGCGGGAAAACAAGTACAGCGAGGGCTCTGAAAAGAGAAGTCAGTCACTCAAGAGAGTGGGTGACCTCTGAGTTTAAAATATTTGCAAACGCCCTGGCCAGTTACTCAGTTGTTCGAGCATCAGCTCTCAGACTAAAAAATCCTGGGTTGGATTCCTGATCAAGGGCATGTATTTGGTTGCAGGTTCCTCAGCCCCAATAGGTAGGAGAGCATGTGGGAGGCAATCACTCAGTATTTCTCTCTCTCTCTCTCTCTCTCTCTCTCTCTCTCTCTCTCTCTCTCCACCTCTCTTCCCCTCTCCTCTCTCCTCTCTCCTCTCTCCCTTCTACTCTCTCTAGAAATCAATGGAAAAATAATCTTGGGTGAGGATTTTAAAAAATAATAAAAATATTTGCAAATACCTTAGCCCATCTATTTTGCTTATGTTTTCCCCCTTAAATATACACACAAAAAGTCTAAACAAGCTCTTTCAATACATTGTATATAATAAAAGAGAAACATGGTAATTAGCATACGACCGCTACCCCTCCCATTGGCTAATCAGGGCAATATGCAAATTAACTGCCAGCCAAGATGGCGGCCGGCAGCCAGGCAGCTTAAAGTGAACATGAGGCTTGCTTGCTTCAGTGACGGAGGACTCCAACGTTCCC